TGTTTATGATTCTTCTAGGAGCCCTCTCTTAGATTCTTTTGCAGTTTATTAAAATTCAATGTTTTGGATGTCTTCTCTTGTGTTATAGATTGTGTATTTTTAATGTTTTTGGATTTCCTTTCTTGTGGTATAGATAGTGTAGATAGATATCTTTGTATACGCCATCAACTTCTATTTTATCTATTTTTTTCTGTATATGAAAGGTCTTGTTTCTTACGAAATAACAAGGAACAGTAATAGCATGGAATCCAGAAACTGGTACTTTTACATGATTGTGCGTCTTTCTATGCCATTTGTAGTCATTTTGATAGTATGCGTAACACTTACATATGCATAGTTTTTGTCCATGGATTTTCTTGGTTATTGCAACCATTGTCATTGTGAGTTTTCTTCAGTTAGAAATAATAGACCAAAACATTTTCTAGTTGCGGACCAGAAAGAAGTCACAAAGTGGATCCTACTCTGAACACTTTCTAAATCTTGGGAGTTGGCTCGATGAACTGAACTATCTTTACGCTGGGGGTTATCTTTAAGTACTTTTTTTGGAGGAGTAAAGGATTCAACTCCCTTTGAAAAAAAAAAAAAAAAGATTCAACTCCTTTAAAGAGGAAGCTAAAGTGCTTAGTCCTTTTTTATAATTGTAAGCTCAGTACGCATTGTATTGACAATCCTTTTTGTACTGGCTTGGAGTCTCTCTCTTTCCCCTTCATCGTTATTTCAAATTACTAATGGAATTATGGAATAGTTTTCTAACAAAAGAGAAAAAGTAAAAAAAAAAAAAAAAAATCCAAGCTTTAACATATGAATGACGTCGTTTGGTTTTTCAGCATATTCATACTTTCATCCATTATATTATTTAATGAAATCTTGTTTCTTGAAAACTTGACGTGTCGATTCAGATTTCAGGTTGGGCTTTGGAATTACCCAATCCTTGATCTTTGATTTCTGTTTTAATTTTTTTCCCTGTGGAGCATCATCTAATTCTTATGCTGTAGTGGTTCTGAAAATGGGATTGAGTTTCTTGGAGAAGTTTTTTGGATCAAGAAGTTCCTTGGCAGTGAATTTGAGAATAGCTTAAGTGGTTAAGACATATATTATTGACTAAAAAGACAGAGGTTTGAATCCAGACCCCACATGTTGTTGAACTAAAAAAAGAGTTTGATTCTTAAGTTCCTAAAAAAAGAGTTGATTCTTATAGTGAAACATAGAAGATGGGTTTTTTTGTTTTGTTTTTCTTTTGGCGAACTTAGAAGGCAGAATTACTGTAGGTAGAAATTTATTCAATCCTATTGATAATTGGGAAGCTCTAACACACACCACCAACTTTTAGCTTTGTTCAAACTTTGTGACATCAAGAGGATGATACATGATACCCTTTATATATTTCTCCACCCTTCTGGAACCATTTTTCAGATATAAATTAGATTACTATTTTGGAGATCCGTGCAGTTATTTCTTTGAACATCTTGCAACATTTCTGAAAAGTTACATAGACATCACATACCATACAGTTGTCCTAATAAGGACAGTAAATCTGTAACGTTATTTGGAAACGATTAAAGAACCTTTATTTTCCAAAGACCTCTGGTAACTTCAATATACCTTAAGAGTTAAGACAGTACTACTGTTATTTTATTCCTCCACGTGATTGAATTTAAGCTCTAGTAGGACAAGTTAAGGTTCCCACTGCAATGGAGATGTGTATAAGAGACAGGTAGTTCTATGGCCACTACATGATTGAATTTAAGCTCTAGTAGGACAAGTTAAGGTTCCCACTGCAATGGGGGCTTCAAAATATACCACCCTCTTGATTGCGCTCGGGCTCCTGTCTCAGGGCAGCCCTACGCTCCATATGGTTACTAGAATATTCATTCTCCCCTATTAAAATAATAATTTATCGAGATAAAAAAAGCTAGCTATTAGCCAAAGGTTACCGGCAACTCTATTCCCGACTAAAAAACGTTGACCCTTTAACCTCTTTCTAATGGATTCTTCATTGACTGAGTAAAGAAAGAGTAGAAAGAGAGGAAGAAGAGTAGAGAAAAGGGTGGCAGAAAAACAAATGGTGGATGAAGAAGAGAGAGAGAGACTGATGGATGCAATTAGAATTTCCTATTTAGTTGTTCACTTTTAAGAAGGAATCACCTTCAGCGTTGAACGATTTGTCCAGGAAAGTGAAGTTCCTCCAAATCATTCATCTATTTTTCTTAAACAGTTGCACAGACAGATTTGAGAGGAAACAAGGACTGGGAAATACACCATATGTGGACCAAGATAACCCACTTACGACTGAGAGTTTAGTTTAAATAGTGATTGTCTAGCTTGACTTCTACAAAAATTTGGATAACCTTCTCTGAATTTTTGGTCAACTATGAGCCCCTTAAATGATGATTTTATTTTTCAATCATATCTATCAGTTGGGTCATTTAGGTCTGAGCGTATTTGGTTTTTGTTGTCCTGTATAAATATTCTTCTGGCAGCATACTGATATCTATACTATTGCAGTAAAAGCATCCAGTTTTCCCTCATGATCCTTCTCCTGGGTGTTGGAATTGCAACAGTGACAGATCTACAATTAAATGCTCTCGGTTCTTTCTTGTCTCTGCTTGCAGTTCTTACTACGTGTGTTGCACAGATTGTATCCTAAGCTAAGTTACTTTTACACTCGGTGTTTAGTTTTGCATGCCTTTTGTCTGGCTATCATTTGTGGGCTAATGCAAGTCTCGTGGGAAGCACTAATTTAATTTGCTCGAGTATTTATTTGCAGATTGGAAAATGTTTTCCATGACGCCACCAGACGTACTATCTCTTTAATCACTTGTTTATTTGAAAGCATATCAATTGCTACTTGCTAGCACTGATTTCAACAGCCCTTTGATACGTAATGACTATCTTTAGCAAAGCTTCATATTATTCTCGTCACCAACTTCTTCATTTTCAATGGTTTTATAACTGTTTTCATGTTTGAATATCGTGAATATGAAGATTAAGTTTTAGTTGGTTTAATTTGATGAGTGTGTGAGCGTCTACGTGCACTCTCTTTCATAAGTTTTTCTGCACTTTTCCCCCTTATGTTCAAGACCTTGACCAGTTAATTGTAGATGACAAATACCATTCAGAAAAAGTTCAAAGTTTCTTCGACACAACTTCTATACCAGTCTTGTCCCTATCAGGCATTAACTCTGTTCATCGCTGGCCCATTTCTGGATTGGTGTCTGACTGATCTAAATGTTTTTGCTTTCAAATACACTCCCCAAGTGCTGGTGAGGTTAAAGAATTAAGCTTCCTTTCCTTTTCCACCTCCCTGACTATATTATTTCTGACATGATTGTTTTTGTGCTTCTTTGTACAGTTCTTCATTGTACTTTCCTGCCTTATTTCTGTCTCAGTCAACTTCAGTACGTTTTTAGTTATTGGAAAGACTTCGGCAGTAACATATCAGGTCCTAGGACATCTAAAGACATGCTTAGTTTTGGCGTTTGGCTATGTCCTGCTTCACGATCCATTTAGCTGGCGGAACATTTTGGGAATCCTGGTTGCCATAGTTGGAATGGTTCTCTATTCTTACTATTGCACCCTCGAGAGTCAACAGAAATCTAATGAAGTATCATCAGCACAACTATCCCAGGTACGACAAGTAGTAGTGTTGAAATGTTATCTCTTGTTCTACCGCCATGGAAGTGTGACAAACTACATGTCATTTTTAGGTGAAGGAAAGTGAATCTGATCCCCTAATAAGTGTTGAAAATGGAGCGGCAATATTAGGCGATGGTGTGGGGCCCAAGGCTCCGGCGTGGAGTTCAAACAAGGACCTGCATGCATAGGGCCGTCGCCGTCTTTGCTGACGAATTTTGTTGTTAGCCCAAATCGGTGGGTCAAGTTATGCTGCCCCCCCAGCAATGAAGAGATTGCTGGCAAGACGCCTTCTCATGCTGATTGCTGTGTATCAAGAGTGCGACACCTATGGAAGTATAAAATTAGAGAGGTAGAGGAAACTCTTTCTCCTTTAGCAGTTATGAGTATTGTTAAAGTAATATGATTCTGTCAGATTATTGACGCATATAAAAAAAAAAAATCAAAAAATTGAGGACCAGAGAACATAGACCGTTTTACAACATCCTGAAAACAATATTTCATAAATTGCAAATTTTGGTGATTTATAGCTATCCTGGTTTGGCTGTCAGTTGTAAACTCCCGGCTGGACATCCTTAATCGCGTATGCGCCCACCGAATTACGTAGTTCGGAAATTGTATTCGACTGTTTGTTGCTTCTTTTGACGTCTCTATAATTAGTGGGTGACAAAAATTTAATAGAGCCAAATTATCCGAGACTGCACTCTCATTACCCAGTTATGAAAATTTTACGGGTACCGTTGATTACATATTAACGCAAAATTAGCTCAAATTACCTTTTTTTTCAATCAAAATAATGTCTTGAGATTGAATATATAATTTTCAATAAATATGAACTGCGAGATTCCTATCTTTAGAATAAAGTTCATCGTATAGGATTGATCTGCCGCATCTTTTAGAAGTATACAAAACCAAATTGAAATTCATATTACAGTCTTAAAGATTAAAATTTTAAATTATTAATAGACGAAGATATTTTCTAAGAAAAAGCTAAAGCAACAAAATTGTAATGAAAGTAATCTTACCTCCTCAATTTTACTGACGTTCAAAATTTATTTTTAAAGAAGTCTATACACATACCGCCACGGCCTCATAACCATCACGTATTTAGAATTTTCATTTTCAAGTTTTATGGTTTTTACTATAAGGATTGGAACACTATCACCTGTTTCAAAGTTGCACAAACTAAAAGTTTATATTTATGTTACAGCATAGCTTGACAACTAAAGTATGTTATTTCTCCCTGTTTGTTTCTTTCTCCACGGGTTAAGATGTTCAATCTATCCTCTTCACATTTGTTGTTTCAAGAAAACAATAGGTTATAAATACAAAATAAAAATAATAAAAAAAAAATAAAAAAGAAGGGGAAAAGGGCCCTTGGTGAATTGTAGCGAATTAGCGACTACTTGAAGCCGCCTGCCTGTGCTTTCTTTCTTTTGTGAGTCGATACTGTGGTCTGTCATCTGTGACTGAGAGAGGGGATTATCGGCAATGGCTCTTCGATTTCTGAGCAGGAAAAACCTAAAGCCAACCATTTCTGGAGCGTTTGGTTCTGGACATTTTCGCGGTTTGCAGACCGTTTCCTTGCCTGGCCTCCCTTATGACTATGGCGCTCTTGAGCCCGTCATCAACGCTGAAATTATGCAGCTTCATCATCAGAAGCATCATCAAGCCTATATCACCAACTACAACAAGGCTCTTGAGCTGCTTCACGACGCCATTAACAAAGGCGACACCACTTCCGTTGTCAAATTGCAGAGTGCCATCAAATTCAATGGCGGAGGTCTTTCTTTTTGCTCTCTGTTCTTTTGATTTTCAAACTACGATGCCTATTTGATTCCTCATTTGTGTAATACTTGAAATCAGATCTATTCGCTCAATTAGGGAATCGCACGATACTTATTGGGTAAATCGAGATTATATGCCATTTCTCAGTTATTAACCGAGCCTTTTATTTTTAAGGTCACATTAATCATTCGATTTTCTGGAACAATCTCGCCCCCATTCATGTAAGTCCCAATCCTTGTGTGTCTGATTCGGTTTCTAGGTTAATTTCTTAACTCCTTGATGTTTCAATTTAACTATTCGAATATATTCTGTTATATATTTGCAGGAAGGGGGTGGTGAGCCTCCAAAGGGATCTCTAGGATGGGCGATCGATACTCAGTTCGGTTCTCTTGAAGCCTTGATTCAGAGAGTCAACGCAGAAGGTGCTGCTTTACAGGGCTCTGGATGGGTGGTATGTTTTCTCCCTTGTCTTTATTTGCTTTCGTTTTTGTCTACCAAATATAATACAGACGTTTAACTGAAGAATTTTTGAGTTATTTCTAGTGGCTTGCTCTGGATAAAGAACTGAAGAAGCTATCAATTGAAACCACGGCCAATCAGGTATATCTCTAGGTTTATTTGTTTAGAAGCTATATCCATGCTGCTGAAGCAGTTTTTTCCTATTTCTGTTTTTGGTGATGCCTTGTGTTGATTCCTTGGTGATTTGCCAAACAATTTCGCCTTACTTTTTCATTTTATGGAGTATGGTTAGTTTTTTTAATCACTTGTTAGTAGAATTTGAACCCATTGTTGGGTTATATTTGAAAGTCATGTGGCTGATGCATCTTTTTGCAGGATCCTCTTGTGACCAAAGGATCTGCTTTAGTTCCTCTGCTTGGGATAGATGTCTGGGAGCATGCGTATTATCTGCAGGTAATTGTTTATGTCTACCTTGATAAGATCATTGTACTTTTTGGAAGATTCCCCTCATTTAGCTTACTGAAAGCTTGTTTACAACTTACTGTGGTGGTTGGGTTTACTTGGTAATAATGCATCAAGTGGGTGGGAATCTGGTGATAAAGGAACTTGTGTAGGAAACCGTCTTTGATTTTGTCCTTGTTGTGGTGAAATGCTATAATGTAATATATGTTATAAGTCATCATCACATTTGGCCTGCAGCTATTAGCTAACTATCTTTTGCTACTTGTTTGATGTTTTGAACTTTTCCATGGTGCAGTACAAAAATGTCAGACCAGACTATCTGAAGAACATATGGAAGGTTATAAATTGGAAATATGCTGGTGAGGTGTTCGCAAAAGAAGCTCCTCTAGTTGAGAGTCGTTAAGAGTCTCTTGGGTCCATTTGTCTAATCTTGTGGAAGCTGTGTTCTGGTGAATATTGACTAATGAGCATCAGTGTATGCATGGACCTCAAAGCCTTGTAATGAGATGAAATGTATCTTTGTTCAAAGTACTTTCTTTGGCCAGAACAATGAATGCATAAAGCCAGGATGGTTTCTTTTTCCCAAGTATTTGCCTCTTTTCAGTGCAGCTCTCTTTTATATTGATTTACCACCAGGGGTATGAAACATATACGCAGGTCTGTGGGTTGATGTTGAAAATATATGTTGCTGACCATAATTCCACTGATACATGATTGTAGAGGACTTGAATGTACATTCGTCTTCTATGGGAGAGGGGAGACAGCTTCATGTTATTCACCCTCACCATAGCTTGCGTTGTTGTGAATAATGATAATTAACAAGACTAGAGACTAGGGTGTATCTCATAGTTCCCTGATTGGGCAGGTTCCATGGGAGCAAAAGATGTGGTTATTGTTTTAACATGTATGGGAGTTGAATTCAAACATGCTCATGTTCGTTCGAAAGAGAGACAAAAAAAGGAACTAATTGACGATATGCATGGACTTTTATACACAATGTTGAAGTGATGAACCATCTTTGTTTTAGACTGTGTGGGTGAAACGCGGAAGATAAGTATGAAAGTGAAACTATAATTTGGTCATCTCTCATCAGATTGGAGGATAAGGGAGGGAAGCATGCGACGGCGCAATGCTGCGGGTGAGTTTGGTCACCATATACGTTATTATGGGCAGGTTAAGCTTAATTAGCGTTGTAATGTAATGTGTGTTAGCTGTTGACATTGAGAACCTGAGAGTCGGAGATAATTAACCACACCACAGTAACCGAGGTTTATGTCAAATTGATGATAATTACCATAAAAGGAGAAAGAAGAAGAAAGACGAGTCCACCGCTGGCTGCTGCTGCTCGCGAAGAAAAGCACCGCCACCGCAGCAGGTTCCCGTAAAACGACGTACGCAAAGCCAAATACTTCTTTTTCATTCTCTCTTCCGGTTCCAGTTTCCCACCATCAATCAAGAGTCAAGAAGAGTCAAGACAGTGAGGTTGTACGTTCGATTTCTCATTTCCTTCCGCTTTCGCTGCGTCGCATCGCGTTCCGGTTGCTGCCAAATTCAAATTGTGTCGCTGAAACTGAAACGTATTCGCCCACTGATACAAACAACATTGGGAACCACCCGACTCTGTCATTTTCTTTTCTGTGGGAGGAAGAGTAACTTTTCATCAGTTTCCGTCCTGGGTAATTCAACTCTTTCTTCCTTCTCCTTCTCCCTCTCTTGATTCTTTTCTCTCTTACGCATCATCGGTTGACGCCCCTATCCTGGATTTCCCATCACCAGCATGCTAATTCTCGTAAACCCACATGTCCCTTGTCTCTAAATTTCTCGTTCCTTTTTCTTCCACGTGACAATCGCGCTGCTTCGTCTCCCAGCGGTTCCATAATCGGCCTGGATAATGCCTTTTCGTTGCCCTCTTTAATATTATACACCACTTTCTCTTTCTGCTACATTTGATTACATGAGTGATCTCCAAGTCTGTTCGCCACGGCCCCATGGCATCTTGTTGGGCGACGATTACTCCTGCCCCCACTTGTCAACTCTGCCATTTCCTACGTTAAATTCTGATCCCTCTTTAATTACTTCAGAAAATTGGGCGACGGCCGAAAATACCGCCGGTGATATCCTCCGTAGAATTCGGCCCACTTTGGTGGCTGAGCAGAAGAGACAGGAGGTTGTTGACTATGTACAACGATTGATCAGAACTCGTGTAGGATGTGAGGTAACTTTTCAAGTGGATTGGGTTTACAGATTCATATTGCATACATCACTATAACTTGTCTTGTGTGATACCGGTTTCTGTTTATCTTTGTACTTGAACTGCTTAAACACATCACACGTTAAATACATTAAAAGCATATTTTCTTTTCCGTTCAACTAAAGATAAGTATCGCTAAGCTGATTGCTTTTGATGGGTTTCCGTTCAATATGATTTCATTTGGCTTCATTAACAGGTATTTCCATATGGTTCCGTGCCACTCAAAACGTATCTTCCTGATGGAGATATAGATTTGACTGCCATCTGCTGTTCAAATATTGAGAGTGCCGTGGTTTCTGATGTTTATGCTGTTCTTAAGGAACAAGAAATAAGTGGAACTTCTCGGTATGAAGTGAAGGATGTACACTGCATTGATGCTGAGGTTTCACCCTTCCCTCTAAATGAGAAAAATTAAAGAAGAAAGAAAGAGAGAGGAAATAAAAAGAGAAAAAAAATCGTTTGAATTAATATTTCACATGGATATACACGCCTTTATAATTGCAATTTGGTGAGGGTTTACTATAGTTCTCTAATGAATGTCTAATGTGATTAGTTATGTAAGGTAAGCCGGTGGTTCTATAGTTTATTCCTAAATCCTACTCATCATTCAAAAACCGTGGTAGCTTGTATCAATGGGTGGTCAGGAGTCTTGACTCAAGATTTTCGTTGGTTAAACAATTTTTATTTCATAATTCCATCTAGAAAATGTAGTATTGTATCATTATTGGTTCAAGCACTGAAATAATCAGTTCAATATGTAGTTGTATTTTTAACTCTTATTTAAACTTATGATCTTTCTATTAAAAAATTTGTTAAAAAAAATTCTTATTGTTAGTTTGACTTATAAAGTTCAAGAAACTCTTAAATGGTTTGTCTGGCTTCCATTATTCTTGACATGTGTTAATTGGGCTTGCATTATATATAATTTAATTAAAAGAAAAAGAAAAAAGTAAGAATGCTTATTTGGGTCAACTGATCAAGATCCTGTGACTCAGCTTTTTAAGTTGATTCTTATAAAGTTTTAACATTATATTCCTTACATTTTATGTCTATTCAATACCTCTGGTGAGCATCAGATAACTTGAACTTTAAGGTTCTAGTCTCTGAAAGTTGTGGAGGCTAAAGTTTAATCCATGTAAAGCTGTCGAGATATTTTATTATCTTCTATTTATATGCTGGATTTTGGCATTTCATTTTCAGTTATGATAACCTTTTCCCTCGACCATTGTTGAGAACATTATTGGGATCATGAATAGGAGGTACCATGGATGATGGAACTTTGAATTAATAACCAATCTCCTGCCCTGTCCTAGGTGTTTGAACGTCAATGCATTAATTTTATTATGGATGTTAACACTATTATTTCTGGATTGAAGTTTCTATATTTCTTGTTAATTCAAGAATGTCTTTATTAGTTCAGGTTGGATAAGATTTGCTTTTCTATGTTTTTACTTCTGTTGGCAGGTTAAGCTTGTGAAATGCCTGGTGCAGAATATTGTAGTAGATATATCATTCAATCAGTTAGGAGGTCTCTGCACTCTGTGTTTTCTCGAACAGGTATGGTTGAAGGCTAACTACTATTGTTTATAAAGTATATATGTGACACTCTTATATACAAAGGAAAAGCTTATGTACTTTGGAATTGTGCGGTGATGACTCTCCTTTGGCTTCTTTGCCGAGAAAGAAATTGTAGAACTTTTGAGGACAAAGCAGTTTTGAAAGATTCTTTTTGTGAATATCAAGCATACGGCTTCGTGGGCTTCAATCCGCAAGAAGATTTTTTTTGTAATTACAGTCTACTTTTGATTATGCAAGATTGGACAGATGTAATTGTATTGTCTTGAGGGGAGGGTTCTCTCTACCTTCTGCCTTTAGGTTGTCTTCCCCTTTTTTGGGTTTCATGGTTGTTTCTTATCAAAGAAAAAAAAAATGTGACACTCTTTCTTTTTGGTACCCTACCCAAGATCTATACATCGTTCAGTCACTTATTTTTCTGATACGATTTGAAGTACTTATACAAAGGCGGGGCACTTTTATGCTTTGCTTAATCAATCAACAATACACATAATAGTTCATGCATACTTCATGTGATTTTCTGGTGTGTAACTGTAACATGTAACATCACCTTGTTTTCATCTTTTTTTATTCCAAGTTGTCGTGCTTGTATAGCACAATATTAGGTCACTAAGTTTTATGATTTGAGGTTGGAACTCTGATGTTTATAACCACACCAGGTTGATCGTCTTGCTGGTAAGGATCATCTTTTCAAACGGAGCATCATTCTGATCAAAGCTTGGTGCTATTATGAAAGTCGAATTCTTGGTGCTCACCATGGACTGATATCAACATATGCTTTGGAAACACTTGTCCTGTATATTTTCCATCTCTTTCATAATTCTTTGCATGGCCCTTTAGCAGTAAGTAATCATTTAAAGTCGAGATTTAATTATTTACTTGCATAGGTCAGTTTCAGCATCTGGTTCTGCTTGCTTGTTCAAATAGGTCCTGTATAGGTTTTTGGAGTACTTCAGCAAATTTGATTGGGAAAATTATTGCATCAGCCTGCATGGACCCGTTATCAAATCTTCCTTACCTGATATAGTGGGTAAGAGATATCTTTTTGTAAGATTGCATAGGTTAATCTTTGCTTTCTTGACTTATGGCGAGTTTTCACAGCTGAAGCACCAGAAAATAGTGGTCATGGGCTATTGCTGAGTGAAACCTTCCTTAGACACTGCACGGAAATGTTTTCAATCTCATCGAGGAGGTCTGAGCCAAGCTTGAGGGTTTTTACCCTGAAGCATCTAAATATAGTTGATCCCATTAAAGAAAATAACAACCTTGGACGCAGTGTTAGTAGAGGTATTTATCTTGTTTCTATGTGTTTATTGCCTTAAAAAGCTGTGTGTTGTATCCTTAGCCTTTTCCTTTTGCTAATTGTAGTTTCAATTGTCTTTGTTGCTAGCCGAATTGGTTATTGGTATATATAATTTTATTGCAGAATAAACCCCCTCCCCACCCCAGTTGCATCCCAACCCCACCCCAAAAAACACACACACACCAAAAAAGTAAATTTCTGTAGTTTCTCTTAGTATGATGGAGTATTTCATTTCATTAGCCCTTAATACAGAAAAGTTCATTGAGAGTTCAAATCAATGCTGAAAATTGAATTGCCGGGAATTTGAGAAGCCTCACAAAATCTTTCCTTTAATTTTTACTTAATTTTTTACATATTTATTTTAGGATTTGAGCTAGTTTTATACTATTTTATTGAACTTTATTACTGGAAGGTAATGCCCTAATTTTTATTTAATTGTATAATTTCTTTCACGTCTCAGGGCATCAGATACTCCTGTTTACTTTCTAACCTTGTTTTTTGCTTTCCACTAGCTAAGAATTTCGGGGAATTATTTAAGGTTAAACTGTTAGCTCCATCATGCTTTGACACACCTTCAATTGCTCTGATGCGCCAGATTGAAGTTTCTTAAAAATATTATACTTTATGAACTATTTTGTTTTTCTTTTTTATGAGAAACAAATGTCATTCATAAAATGAAATTACCGAAGGAGCAGTGAGCGAAGCCCAAAGTTAAAGGGATTACAAAAGCCCATCCAGTTGGGTACAAAAAGAACTCAAATTGAAAAAAATAAAAGAAGCATAAATTTTACCCCTAGAAAGGGAGAATCCAAAAAGAAACAAAAGCCAAAGGTGCCAAATTCGTTGACAATAATGAGAGAAGCCACAGGAGATTGTCTTTCAAATATTGTTTAAATATATGTATATATACATATATTGTTTTGATTTCATTGATGATTTGAAATTACAAAAAGAAGGTGACCCATCTGGCCATCCAAGGAATTACAAAAAAACATTTCCAATCCTTTGTTTTATATATTATCAGTCAAATGTTGGCACCTTGGTTCTTTATTTTCATTTGTAATTCTTTACGTATTTTGTAGCATTGTTAATGGTACCATTGAAATGTGTTTATATGCATATATTTTTCCAGAGGATCTTCGAAGGGAAATGTAAGGATTCGGTTGATGTTTTCAATTTAGTCAAGTTTAAGGCTTCTCAATGTTGTGCTCTTTCTAATTTGTTTGTCGATCATTCTTCAAGTATGATTTGTTCAATCAAACTGGGAGGCTTTTATTACTCCCCTTAATTCTTGTTTCTGTTATTTTTGTTTCATTTTTTCTTTCACTCCTTCGCGAATTTGTATCTTTGAACAATTTTCTGTTTCTTTTCATTAATCGATGGAAAGTTCGTTTCTTATTAAAAAAAAACATATATTTTTCCAGAAAGGGCTACTTTAATTAGTGTATCTTCATCATGTTTAGATCCTAATTTTTTGAAAAGTAAGGTATTGCGAAGCTCTTATCATGTTGTCCCATATCCGTGTTTGTACTACTTAGATTAAATCACTTTGCATATTCTTCCAGGTAGATATCCTTATTAATCTGATCATGCATAGTTGGTTTACTGTAGGAAATTTTTATAGAATACGCAGTGCTTTCAAATATGGAGCTCGAAAGCTGGGTTGGATTCTTTTATTACCAGAAGAAAGAATGGAAGCGGAGCTTAACAAATTTTTTGCCAACACTTTAGATAGGCACTGTTGGAGTAACGCAGAATTCCCTACTATGGACGCTGGCTTTGGGGTTTCAGTCCAGACATCTGCACCATTGGAGACGTGTGTTCTAGACAAGTTATGTTTAGAGCCAACTTTGGACCTAAGAGATGAAAAGACATCAGGAGCTGAAGTTTCTTTCTCAAACATAAGTTCTACAGGGTCAGGGTGCGAGTTCACAGGGAATGTCCAGAAGCTTGGGATGCCTGTTCTAAATACAAGCAGCACTAATGACGCACCTAAATTGTCTTCCTTGCATTCCAACCAGATTAATCTGGTCTCAGAGAACTGTTTCTGTGCCCCACAGAATGGGTTTCGAAGCTTGTTAGGAAGCCGAATGACCTCAGATTGTGTTAATAGTGATGAGATATGTTTAACGTTAGAAGTTGAATCTAAAGATGAGGGTTTCAACAAAAGATGCAATGGAGACACTAGAAGCTTTGAAGATGCTGGAAAGTTATTAGATCTTTGTGGAGATTATGATAGTTACTTTAGAAACCTTAGATATAGTCAGATTTGTGACAGGTATGCCATGTCTCCTACTCTACCGTTAAGCCCACCCATGTCACCTCATAGGCAGAAAAATTATCCTTGGCGAACCAACCATCGATCCCTAAACCACAATCATTATATTCCTTCGGGAATTGACAGAAATGGATTCACCATGGGACTACAGTCCAATCCTGTTAATCATTTTGCGATTGTTTTGGAGGAAAATAAAAGGCCGCAAGGAATTGGTACATACTTCCCTAGGACGGTATTATATGAAACCTTTTATCTTCTTTTTATAACCAACCTCCTGTGTTAAAATCTTCATGGCTTTATATGAAATGATTGTGCGCCATGCATATGGTTCTCGATAGTTCCATGATAGTGTTATGATGTTTTGGTTGATTATTTGCAGAATACTTGTTCATATAGAGACAGGCAATCTCAGGCAAAGGGAAAGATTCAAGGACAGATGACTCAGAGGCAATTGCAAACACAAGATCGCAGCAACGAATTGTCTGCAACTTCAAGAGAACTTAGCCTATCTGCAGAAGGCAGCCATGAATTCTCGGAAGCTGAATTTCCAGCTCTTGGTAATGGAAAAACGGGATCATCAGGTTCACCTCCCTCGCCTTGCATTTCAAAATGGAAAACCCCTCATGGCAATGATACTTCATGGCCTCACGATGAACTTGGAGCTTGGCCCATTTACCCGGAGCCTTGGGATGCAACCATCTCAGAAGCGAGCAACCCAATAGAGCAAGGTGCTTCACACTGCTCATCTAAGATTGGGTTGTCAGCTACGGAAAATCTGAAACGAGTAGAAGAAGACAATCAAAGTCATGAAAGGTTTGAATAACTCTATGGTTTTTGTTAGTTTTTTTTTTTTTTTCTTTCTTTGCATAAATTAAAAATGACTTTTATCATGGTTATCAGGGTTGTTGAACAATGTTTCCATTTGAAGAACGATGAAGATTTTCCGCCGCTGTCCCACTGAGTGCTGTACAGGTGAGTGAGTGCAAGTAGACAACAATAAAACTTAGGACAAGATTGTCCCTCTAGCTGTAGTGCAAGAAAGAGTTTGTGTATATTTTTAGAATCAATGTCCTTAGACATCTCTGGAAATGGATGTCTTGGGAGTGTGTAGGTGATGGTGAACTTGTAAGTTTACTGGGTAAGGTAGGTAGGTTTACATTACATGATCAGTGTTATAATGCTTTCCACTGCTTTGTAAAACACCATGAGTTGAATGCCAAGTGGAAGAATGCTTTTGTTGTGCTTCTCGCAGCGATGACATATCCATAATCATGTTGCCAATTATGCATTAGAGATCTAACTGATGTTAAAGACTTAAACTATCCCTTTTAATATTTTTTCAATTTCCTCATTTAATTATTAACTTGGTTAAATCATAAGTTTTTTTTTCTTTTAAGTATGGTTAAATTATGAGTTGTATTTCAAACTTTAATGAGTGTGTAATAGTGTCTTAAACTTTTAACTTTCTATCTAACAGGATTCTAACTTTTCAATTAAATATTTAATCCTAACTTTTCAATTAAATATTTAATAGATATGTGGATCTTTAGATTAGATTACTATTTTGGTCTTTATACTCTTAATTTTAGTTTATTTTAATCTCCGTATTTTCATAATGTTCGTTTTAATTATTGTACATTTAATAAGTGATCATTTTAATCTCTATTTGTAAAATTTTTACACAATTCTACACGTGACGAAACTCCTTTAATATAAAGTAATGGTTATATTTTAAGAAATATATTGTGTAGTGTCGTGTTGAAATTGTGATAAAAAAATGAGATTAAAAATGAAATTGAATGACTAAAGTCCATGGACTAAATTTAACATTTTAAAAATAAGGACAAATGAAAAAAAAAAGAGATTAAAAATGAAATTGAATGACTAAAGTACATGGACTAAATTTACATTTTAAAAATAAGGACAAATGAACAAAAATCAAAATGAGTACACCTATTAAAATATTATTTTAATCAAAATTCTAATAAGTTAGAGATTTATTAGACATAAAATTGAAAGTTGATGAACTTATTAAATTTTTTTTCTTTAAATATATGTTTTAGTCTATAAGTCGTGTATTTTTAAATTTTGCCCCTATTCTTTTAAAAGTTCAATTTCATCATTGATATGCTGAACTTTTTATATTAAGTTCTTGCAAATTCAAAGTAATAAAAAATATTTTTATCAAATACTATTTTGGGTGTATTTTCAATTTCGGTTCATTTTGGTCTCTATATTTTCACTTCTAGTTTATTTTAGTATTTAATTTTAGTTTTGGTCCTATGACCATTTTGACTTATTTATTTTTATTTCTATCTCATTTATTTTAATCAAATTTTTAGCACGACAATTTATTCATTAAATTTTTTAAATGAAGCCATAAATTTATAGGGTAAATTGCAAAAACTACCCCTAAACTATAATAGTTGTTACAATTACACCTACAAACTTCTAATCATCAAAATTAAACACTCTAACTTAAATAATTGTTTGAATCAAACTTTCCTGTGTAGTTGGATTAGAATTGTTGTTAAGTTCTGCGTAAAAAACAACAGGACAAACAAAAATAAAACTCTCCAACTCAAGTTTGAAGAGTAGCAGTGATCCTTTCTTGAAAACCTGATATGTGATGTTTGATTGTTGGTACAATTTCATCTAAAGGGAAAAATACATTTTTGGTCCTAAAATTTGGGGTAGGTATCCTGAAATTTCAAAATGAACAGTTTTTGTCTTTGAGATTTGGAGTAGGTGTTAATTTGATCTTTAAGTTTCAAAATAAACACTTTTTGGTCTCCACAATTTGAAAATTTGTTTTAAATGGTCTGTAAATACTCTTTGCCTGTTTGTTGACTTAACGAAAAAATGACGTGAAAATTAATAGGCGACTGGAGTTTTTTAATTTGTTTTTTTAATGACTTGGAAAAGAATATTAATTTTTAAACAATTTTGTTATTTTTTATTTCATCTCTCTTCTTTTGATCTCTTCATCTTCTTGCCATTCACCGACAATACTGTCGACCACCATCACACGCTATGGCTGTCGACCGTGTCACTCGTCCCTTGACCATCGTCGCCGTCCACCAGACAGAGGGAAAAGCTCTCCCTCTCTCCCCGTTCCAGATCTAGAATGGGGGAGAGAGGGAGGAGCTTTCCCTCTCTCAGGTAAGTAGCAACAATGGCAACGACAGATGGCGGCACGACGGTATGCTGCAACGACGGGCAACAACGACTACAACAACAGTGGACAACGTGATGGTAGTAAGAAGATGAAGAGACCAAAAGAACAAGTAAATAAATTAATAAATGCTACCTCACATCACAAGGTAAAAACTTAATATTTTTTACAAAATCATTTAAAAAAAGCAATTTAGAAATGTCAAGTGACCTGTTAATTGTCGCGTCAATTTTCCGTTAAGTCAACTAATGATCAAAGAACAGTGAAGAGCCATTTAAAATAAATTTTCTAACTTTAGGATCAAAAGTATTTATTTTTAAACTTAATAACTAAATTGACACCTACTCTAAATCTCATGGACCAAAAATATTTATGTTGAAATGTCAAGGAACCAATTGACACCTATCCAAGGGACCAAAAGTATATTTTTCATAATTTTATAGGTAGCCAATAAAAATTGAGAAGAAATTTGAAGCTTATTAATTATAGGTTTTCTAATCCAAAAAAAAAAAAAATTTAATCAAAAGATTTTTTTTTCCAAAAAAAAAACAAAAAGAATTATATATATTACTTTATATCTTCAATGTTATAAGCAAAATAACCTATATAATTTTATATTCTAAATTATATTTATAATTACAAACTAAAGTATTTCTCAAAAAAAATATTACAAACTAAAGTAAATAGATAACAAAACTAAAAAGAAATGGTAGGTATACGTATAATTATAACTAGTCTACGAACAGTCAACAATCGCACCGTAAAAATAGAAAATTATTTATCAATAATGATTGGATCGTCTAAAAAAAAAATACTAAATTCATCGAGTTATCTTAAACAACCAAAATTAAAGTTTAATTATTTAATAAAAACCTTCTATATGAATAGCAAGAAGCACCAGTGGTCTAGTGGTAGAATAGTACCCTGCCACGGTACAGACCCGGGTTCGATTCCCGGCTGGTGCACTCGGTCTTGCGACGTGGAATTTTGCTCTAACTCTGATTGTAGTTAGGGTCCATCTCTTCCGTCTGATGTTTCGGAAGAAACCAATGGCGCATCTGAGCTTGACACTTTTTTTTCTCTCTTTTTTTCTTCCCCACCTCAAGCAATTCGGGATATGGTGATTGATTGATTGATTGCTGCCACTCGGACGCTGAAGAGAGCATACATTCTTTTGGAACTTTCTTTCCTTGCCACAACAGTGTGCATGGAGTACAAACGTTCGGAGACGGAGAGATCTTCAATTCAATTATTGCCCATCAGACAATGTGATATTGTATGTATCGTATTTGTATTCTTCTGCACCAAAATCGTTCATCTCTGTCTTTGCTACAATGTACTGCGCCTTCGTGACTTTGCCTTCTTCTCTCTCCCTATAATTCTCAATTCTGACCCATTTTTTGCTTAATTCACCACAATATCAATCATAACTTCCCGCTTTCCAGCGGTTGTCTTCTTAACATGTGCTTCATAGGATTATGTTGGTTGTCAAAAAGTTGTTTCAGTGGATCATAACCCCAAATCATGATGTTTCACCTTTACATGAAAAGCTTCACAAAAGTATTGTTTTCAAATTCTTGATTCTCTCTAGTTCTTGGTTTGCTTTTTAACAAGTTGAGGTTGGCAGACTTTAAGAAAAATTGTGGGTTGCTGAGAGGGACTGGACCTGAATCATAGTTGTTTGACAGACACAACTCAAGTCTCTAGGAAATCCTAGGTTAGGTCTCTAGCAATAGCCTCATTGGCTGCCTCTATAAATGTTTCTATCCACAATTAGGTGTGGTCCTCCCCGCTCCATAATTGTTCCCCTTCTGGATCTTTTCCTCTTCTTTTTAAATCATGTGATCCTTGTAGCAGTTAAGATGTTTTTGGTTTCCGTTTTCTTTATTTTTAACCAAGAAAAATGAATTGCATGACTCCAACCTCCATAAATTCAGGTATGATAAAATAATTTTTTTATTTATGTTTGGGAACAAATTGGAAATGAGAACAAAGAAGAAACTTGTTTGGTTGTTTCTAAAATCTTTATTTTTAACCAAGAAAAATGAATTGCATGACTCCAACCTCCATAAATTCAGGTATGATAAAATAATTTTTTTTATTTATGTTTGGGAACAAATTGGAAATGAGAACAAAGAAGAAACTTGTTTGGTTGTTTCTAAAATTTTTATACAATTTTGATAATGTTCTAAAATAAAAGGAGAAACAAGAGACATAGTTAGTTGCAAAATGTTTAAATTTCTAAAAGAAATTTGAAATGAAAAACAAGAAACCAGAACGTTACTAAACGAGACCTAATTGTTTCCCCCAACAAAATCTGAAACAAGAGATTTTGTTTCAGATTATTTAGACGATCTTAGAAACATAGGTGCAATGTCTATCTAACGAGACTTCGACCCGAAAGAATTGAATAAACCTTTTGAGGAGGTAGAGAAAAATACTGGCCGGAAAGAGCACAAGTTGAACTCTGAAAGAATGTTTGAGTGAGTATGAGAGCCTGTATAATATGCTAGCCGTGTAGTGGAACATACAAATTTATTTAGGTCTCACTGAGCCAGATTTTGACATCGGTTAGAACTCAGAAAAGATTACAAGTATGAAATTTTTTTTGTTGGAGTTCAAAAGCAAATCCATATAAACATAGGTTTAAATCGATAATACTGTATGTAGAGATATAGAAAGGAGTCAAAGCCACCTAGTTGCCTTCAGTTAATAAGTATGTTTGCTGTAATTTTCAAGGACCCTTCCTTAGCATGTTTCACTAGAATTCTCCTGTAGAAGTTAACCAATTGCCTTTCCATGAATTGGAGTTCTGAAAAACTACCTTGTTTTTCTTGTCCATAAACAAACCAAAAGAAAAAAAAAAACTACATATCTCCCAGATTGGATAATAACATGAATATGATATAGTTACCGACAGTTCCTTGTTGAAAACCTTACATATGCATTGATAAAAGTTTAATATTACAAAAAGAAAAAGAAAAGAAAGAAACAAAAAGAAACCTACATGTTTCTTATTTTAGTCAGCTATGATATACATTTATCACATATTTCATAATCTGAGATGCTTTCAGATCCGAAATTCAGCCATATCAAACCAAATATGCTCAAAAGTTTTGATAATGAGATCATGATATTCGTCAGAATTCAGTATGAGGTAGCAAGCAAGAAGGTCTTCCAAATCCTTGGAACTCCTGATGTTATTCTCAATAATCATCTCTAGCATTGATTCCCTGAAGTCCTCTCGAGGATTATGTGATGTCTTGACCATTGCAACGCTCTCCAAAAGGCAACTATTCTTGCTCTTCAATCTAATGCCCGATGGCACATTCCTTCTTGCATGTGACTGAATCCTTCTTCCGATTCTCGGTGAATTAGCTCTCAGTTTTACACTTATTGGACTTGCAGATGGCTTCCGAAAAACATAACTGGTTTTCTGTTTCTCTACATTCTTGATGTTTTCCTCCACAGTTTTGACAGAGAGGGATTTGTTTGCTTTTATTTTCGTCCATTTGGATGAGCTTCTTAACTTGGTGCCTTCAGTAGCCTTCTGTTTGAGTCTCATTGTCTTCCTCGATATCAGAGGAAGCTGATCCAGCTCTCTTATCCAGTCAAACCCATGTAGCTTGTCAGTTTTTCTTCCCACCGACTCATCATTCATGTCTATGATGATGTCATTGTTTGAAGACCTGAGTGTGCATTTGCAGGAGCTGGACAAAGAGGTTAAATCATCAAAGGAGTCGGAAGAAAACGTGTTGGCGCCCTCTGCTTCAGAAAGACTGTCATAGGCCTCAGTTCTAGGGGAGTACTCTATACAAGAGAATGAGGAATTTGGAGAATGAGGCAGAGTTCCAACTGAACTGGGAGAGACACGACATGTACAGGCAGCTGAGACGGGGTTGACAACTCTTGGGGAAGGCTTGTAGATGGTTTTCCTTCGGGATCTTCTCTTTGAGGATTTTCTGGCTGGCTCCAAAAAATGGGTGTCTGAGAAGTTCTGGATGAAGGGTGGGTTGTGGAATCCATGAAGTTTGGCGGAATCCGGGTTGAAGTCGGTGAAGTAAAATGGCTGCGAGACTTGAGGTTTCTGCGGTGATATGGTTGTGGGCTTGAGCTTTTTCTTTGAGGTGGATTGCGATTGAGAGGAGTTATGCTTTGATCTGTTGCTGCTCATGTCTTTGAGCTTGTAAAACCAGGCATTTGGTATCATACCTGACAACCTAAACTTGTACTTCCCCATCCAACCTAACTCTTCTCTCGTTCCTACCCAAGTTGCTGCTTTGCATTCCCTATATATGAATACAATACGTGTAGAGAGTTAAGCTGACAAGGCTTTGGTTTGTCAGAGGGCAAGGAGAAAAAATAAATGGGGTCCAGAGGAAAAGTTTGGTGACGAAAAACTATGAGAAAGCTTGCATTAAGCACAAATGCCACATCAAGCATATGGCCACTTGTGTCATTGTCACAGAACAGAGTAAATTCTGCTGTTTGTTTAAGCATAATTGGGTTGCAAAGATGCATCATCATTCATTAGGATTTGGAGAATGCAAAAGCGTGGCGACAGGAAGTATTGCCTCATTCATATTGGTGAGATTTATGTTGCGGAAAATCTCAGGAATTTACAATCTTTTTCCTTCTATAATCAATGAAATTTGGGTTGTCAACGTTACAAAAGCTGCCATAAATGAGAGAGCAACGACCCATCTGTCTGGTGAGTGCTCCTTGGCTTTCTAGAAATTTGATGCTTTAATCTTTATGTATGATGATATGTACCTTTTCTTTCCCGACTGCTTCATGTACAACAGGCCCACCTGCCCAGCGCAGGCCTGGAAAGATCACCAATCATGCCCTTAACATTCTGATTAATCACAAGCATGAGTGAGAAACACAAGGGGGAAAAAGAAAAAAGAACCTCTCACTAGTCTTCTTTTGAAAGGTGTATTGATTCCGAACGAAAGAAGATTCAACCATACAACTTCTTCACATCTTTGTATATGGAAGTCAAATTTTGTAAGTTCGTAGTTAAGTCTATTTAGCAGTGAAATGTAGACTACAAAGTTTAACTGATTGAACCCAAGATAACTTTTTTTTTTCCTCATGCTACAGTTCTACTTCAGGCTTTTAATTTGAGGTGCACGACACAGTGTGATAGCTCATGCATGTGTAAAATGACAGTTGAGAGTTTCAATGGTGGTCAGTGGACTAACATTTCTTATTGAGAATTGCTCGTGAGTTCCAAGCAAACAAAGGCACTGTCTGTCATGTGAACCATTGCCATTATTGTCATTGTAATTTCAGGCTTCTCTTTCTTTCTTTCTGTTATAACTGACAGAACAGAAAAATAATTTTCTTGAGGTGAAAAAATGCCAAATGGTAAGTTTTGTGGCGAACTTTCAGGTTTTTTAATTGGAGAAGTGTCTTCACTCCCACCGCGGTTCAATGCCACATCCATGTAAAATACATCTTCACTCTGCAAAAACATGCATGAGAGTGAGGAGACGTGTAGGTTTAATCTTTCCAAAACCATTAATTTTTCAGTTCAATTTCAGAATCTCTAAAGAGCAGGGGTCACAACCACAACATTCTGAGCAAACAGGATTAACCTTAATCTTGACAAACTATTGATGACAATTGACCAAATAATCATATTTAGATCTTCTTTTTCTAAAAGATCAGGCTTAGAAAATACTCCAAAATTGTCCAGACTGCGTTAGGTGTCACAATCGCACCTTTTCAAAGCAGCTCGAGCGATTGTGCGGCACTTGCTCTAGCTTAAACGAGCAAGTCAGCCGGGAAAAACTGTAAGTTGCGGACAATCTCGGTCGTGGGTCCAGCCTCCGCTCACGTTTTAAGAGAAAATTGGTTTTAGAAAACGTGAGAGAGACAAACAGTTGAAAACATCTTTAAAACAAGCATTGTAGACATTGGATGCAAGAAAGCTTTGATTGCAAGAAAGTATACAACACTTGGTCGGGGGAGGTTTGATGACTACTTGGTCCCCCCTAAGGTACATTATAAGGCATTTTTGGTGTGGCAGGTGTAGACGTCCTAAGTGGCGAGGAGTCACTCGGTGGCCTACAGGGCCCGTGTGAACTCCGATTGGCTTGAAATTTGGCGTGCTTACACATCTTACTAATACACACCTAGTTCCAAAGCCGCTCGGCCAACTTCCACCTACAACCCCAAAAACCCGATACAAGAAAATTACACTAGAAAGCTTTAAAGACATGAAAGGAAAGCGAGTGGTGAGGATGGTTTGGACATGCGGCCATGGGTAACACACCCTGGACAAGCATGCCCACAACATTAGGCACCCTAGTAACTTCACTTGTACTTAAAAATATTCTTTTTATAAATGTTCCAACCACTTCTCATGTACCCAGGTGACAAAAAATATCTATATGTGTTAGGGATAAAACAAACTAACAAATATTATCTCAATCACAATTCCAGACCATATATGCTAATTAATCCCAGATCAGGTTCTGGTTCTAATTATAACAGAAATAAATCAAATCGGAACTATGCTCAAAAAGTAGATAAACCAACCTAAACCTCAAGCAACAAGAACAATAAAATATAGGGAAGAGAAATCGACACCGGATTTATACTAGTTCACCCAATGTGGGCCACGTCCAGTTCTCTACTACCATTGCAGGTTCCACTAAATGCCAGGAGAATCTTCAAGAATTTACAAGCGCTCTATAATGATTTCTTTCACTTTTCTCTCAAAGAAAATGCTCACTAATCACTCTACAAGCTTCTTGAAGCACTTCAATGGAGGTTGGAGATTTTTCTCACATGAAAAATTCACACAGAACACTCACCCTCGATGAAAAAATTGCCCAAAACCCTCATTTCAGTAAATCTCACTCTTAATTCTCTCTCTAGTGGTTGTTAAAAATAGTGGGGCGGAGGCATTTAATTTTTTTTAACAAAAAAAATAGAGATAATATCTTGGGAGGGCTATTTTTAATTTTTAATTTCATAAATATCTTTAGTTTTCTAAATTTACACTTTTAGATTTTTTCATGTAGGATTTTATTTTAATACCGTTTATATCCTTATTTATTGCTTTTTATTTTATTATAATTTTAAAATTTAAAAGATTTGAATCCTTAATTTGTTATTATATTCATTTAATTATTGTGGGCCCCGTTCAATTATTCAACCTAAATTCCTCAAATCTCTCCCTCAAAAAAGATTTTATTCTCTCGCCAGTTAAGAACTTCCAAATTTGTGTGCTTTCTTCTCCAACCTTGATTTTTTTCCCTGGCATCTTCCTTTTTTTCGTGCATACCTTCATCAACATCGACAGCATTGAAGTGCATACCGTCTGTGTACTTCTTCAGAGCTTCCATCAACGATCCATTTTTTCCTTCTTCTTTTCGTCGTCGAATAGACTTTCCGTCGACCTCGTTCCACATTTCCGATGCCATGTGCAGCGTGCTTCCGTCAACGAGGTATTTATTCCTTCAATTTCCGTCGCCAAATAAACTTTTCGTCGACGTCTTTAAACGTTTCCGATGCCGTTTAGCGCGTTCCTCGTCTCCTGTCCCCTTCTGTTTTTACCATTGATACTTATTAGTTTTCCGTTAAGATTGATATATATGGGGATATATTTTATGTATGTGTACAGAAAATAGAAGTTCTAAACGTCTCACAGTCTTTGTATTCCTGATTATATTCATATATATAGGTATATATTGTATATGTGAATATATCTTATATGTGTATACATATATCTTATAGTTCTGTAGAAATGGTCCTCCATACCATTTGTAATTATTAGTCTTCCATTAAGATTGGTATATATGGGGATATATTTTGTTTATGTGTATAGAAAATTGAAGTTCTAAATGTCTCATATACTTAGTATTCCCGATTATATTCGTATATATATATGTATATATATATGTATATATATATTGTATATGCGTATATATCTTATATGTGTATATATCTTATAGTTGTATACAAGATATAAACGCATATATCCTATAGTAATGTAGAAAGGGTCCTCCAGAACTGAAGTTTTAAACGTTTTATGGATGAAGTGAAAAAAGTTCTTAGATTTCGAATTTGGGAGATTTTTGGACGGGATTTGGAGATATTTTGGGAGGTTATGATTTCAATTTTGGGGAATTTAGGATTTTGTTTTTAATGTTTTAGTGTTTTAATTTGTTTTGGAAAGTATCATTAACCTAAAATTATGGGATCTAAATTATAACTTTCTAATTAATAAATTTTGCATATTAAAATTAATTTAAAATTAATTTGTAAATACAAGAGGCTATTTAAGTAATTTATATGATGGGTACCCTCTTAAATAGGGCTGATACATGACAAATGTGTAAATTCTATACATTCCATCCTTTTATGTAATTATGATCTTTAAATAGCCCATCAATGTACTAATCCCAAAAAAATAACCAAGCTTAATGAAGAAGAAATAAACGTATTGGGCCTATCTTTAATTACTTTGGCCCAATAACTAATGCTCCATTTTAATATTTGGCTCCACATTAATTCCCAACAATCTCCCACTTGGAGACAAAACAAGCATCACGTCTCTTTTGCAACGGTAGCGGCTCCTCTCTACTCATGGAGAAATCCAATTGAAGTTGCGCACAACTTCAGTTTATCAACAGGGACGACCTTGGTAAACATATCGGCAGGATTCTCACTTCCTGGAATCTTTTCAAGCACCAGCACCCCATCTTCCAAAGCTGATCTGATAAAATGGTACATTATCTGTATATGTTTCGTTCTCGAATGAAATACATGATTCTTTGCTAAATGAATAGCGCTCTGACTGTCACAATGCAAAGTCTTTTTTCCCAATTTCAAACCAAGTTCTTCTAAAAAGGACTGAAGCCATATCATCTCTTTACTTGCCTCAGTAACTGCAACATACTCAGCTTCTGTAATAGAAAGTGTTATATCTTCTGCAATCTAGAGACCCAACTAATAGCAGTATTACCCAAAGTAAATACATACCCGGTAGTACTTTTTCTGCCATCTGTATCACCTACCATATCTGCATCAACATAGTCCTGCAATTTAAAATCTGACATTTTAAAATGTAAAGCATAATCAGTCGTTCCTCTCAAGTATCTGAAGATCCACTTCACAGCTTCACAGTGCTGCTTCCCTGGATTATAAATATACCTGCTAACAACTCCCACTGCATGTGCAATATCTGGTCTTGTGCAAACCATGGCATACATCAGGCTACCTATAGCTGAAGTGTATGGAACTTTAGCCATATAAACTCTTTCTT